AAGAGTCGGGCGAAAATTAGCATTGTTGAAACTAGATATATCGAAAAGAGTCGGGCGAAAATCAGCTTTGTTGAAACTAGGTATATCGAAAAGAGTCGGGCGAAAATTAGCATTGTTGAAACTAGGTATATCGAAAAGAGTCGGGCAAAAATTAACATTGTTGAGATAAAGTAGATGAACGTTAAAATTACATAGTCCAAACATTACAAAATAAAGAAAATTCAAGATCCTACTTTTTTCAAAAGTTTAAACTAATTTCCAGATTAATGCAGTACAGTTCCTGTCAATTTGTTTCCAGAAAATCAATAAGTTTGTTTATTAAAAACTTAGATTGAAAGTAAAATACTAAAAATGGCATTATGTTTTCTTATGTACCACCACCTTTGTATTTCAATAATACACCCACCCCTTTTTCAGTAAAGCATCCACTGGGTAGATGAATGTTGAAGGATGAATTTAAAATAATGCCCCCCCCCCCCCTTTGTTCAGCAATAAGACTGGAGACCCAAAATTCGGGTACGATTTCTCGTGAGATACAGCTTGTTTGTTTGTTTTTGAATTTCGCGCAAAGCTACACGAGGGCTATCTGCGCTAGCCGTCCCTAATTTAGCAGTATACGACTAGAGGGAAGGTAGCTAGTCATCACCAACCACCGCCAACTCTTGGGCTACTCTTTTACCAACGAATAGTGGGATTGACCGTCACGTTATAACGCACCCACGGCTGAAAGGGCGAGCATGTTTGGTGGGACGGGGATTCGAACCCGCGACCCTCAGATTGCGAGTCGAGCACCCCCTAACCACCTGGCCATATATATATATATATAATCCATTCTGATGCTCTGTGCTAAAAAAATAAATTTTTGAACAATTTTTGGAAACTTGAAAAAGATAGCTTTATTTCCTCTTATATCAAAGAAAACCCCTGACAGTGAAAGCAAAAAACGAATAATATGTCAACCACATTACATCTGCCATGTCCAGTGCCGACGAGGCCTTTCGCATAATGCCAGATGATTCCTTTTCAAA